TTCAAACTTTTTCGGTGGTTTTCCACGTTCTTCGTTCCTCACGTCAAAATCGCCACTTTTGAATTTTTTAAACTACTCAAAGCACTGTGATTTGCCAAGTGCATGCTCACCATAAGCTTCGACAAGCATTCAATGTGATTCTGCAGCAGTTTTCTTCAAATGGTAACAGAAAATCAATGCTGTCCGCAAATCACAGTTTCCAGGCACAAAATTCGACATGTTCAACGCTATTATAAACTATACTGTTGTATGAAACTTGTATTGTTGTGTGTTGAAAATCTTTGTCAGATGTCAGAACAAGGAAATGGCGTCAATGACGCGGTCTGACGGCAACTACATTGTCAGCTATGGCCATCTATTGGTAAATTCTGGTTTCATATTTACATACCTGGTAACCTTTATATAGAAAGCACCCGTGGAAGCCTCAAGACTATATATCGAATATGTTATAATTGTTTTCCCCAACTAATTCTTTAATAATATGTAATTCTCAAGAAAGTTTTAGATCTTTACATTAATTTTAAATGAAATTATAAAATGTTTTTTTATAGCAGCGTTGTTTAACAATTAATTCATGGATCTGACATTCCTGCAGAAAATACTGGACACATTCTATAATAAGTTTATTATTATATAATAATATATAATCATTATACCTAAATTTTAAGTCTTAAGCTGCAAGAAAATTGGTTAATTTCTCACAACTTAAGATTTAAAACTCGGGTAATAGCTAGCTTATATTATACAGAAAACCTATAAGACTTATCACACATAAAATGATGTAAGGTGCATAAGCAGTAGCTTAAGACCGTCGAATCATTCAGTATAAAGATATCATATTAGGCGCGTTCAGCGGACTTAATAATTCAGTGAGCGCTCGCTGTTACTAATTCTTTTAGATTCTTTTAGATATTCTTTTAGATCATCCAATCAAAATTTTAGATCTAGAAGAATACACCAACAACAGCGAGCGCTCACTCAATTGTTGAGTCCGCTGAATACGCCCATTGATTTACATGTGTAAAGGTTTCCCCTAACCCAAGCAGAATAAAAAATCATGATAATATGAAAATGACATCAATATATCAATGAGGTTTGATTTTATTGATTCTCTTGATTTCCAGGAGCTTGCAAAGTTGTACTGTCATTACTTGTAGCCACATTTTCTGCTGCCACGAATTGATGCATCATTCTGTGTACGTTACTAACATTAGTCCCTTCTTGAAATATTAAATAGCCATTCGTAACATAACATTGATAGATACTAATAGCGTGTTCGATTTACTGACTTTACCCGACTCCAAGTCAATGTATTGTGTGTGTGTGTGTGTGTGCGCGCGCGCGCGCGCGCGTGCGGGTGCGCGTGCGGGTGCGGGTGCGTGTGCATGTGCGTGTGCGTGTATGTGTGTGTGGTCTGTTCTGTATGTTGTGTGTGTGTGTGTGTGTGTGTGTGTGTGTGTGTGTGTGTGTGTGTGTGTGCGTGCGCGTGCGCGTGCGGGTGCGTGTGCATGTGCGTGTGCGTGTATGTGTGTGTGGTCTGTTCTGTATAACTGCAAAAGAAGAGCTAAACTGTGCAAGAAATGTAGCTAAAGAGAACAAACCGTTAACTCGGAGTCGGGTCGAGTCAGTAAATTGAATACGCTATAAATCTTTCAAGAGCTTTCTTACTATAGAACTTTGAATCACGAATTTTGATATCACTGCTATCAGTAACACTTGACATATTGAAATAATAATACATACCTCTGTTGATCTACTTGATAACGAAGAATTTGCCAGTTTGTAGCGTCATTAGGAGAACTTACATCCGAAACGTCCTAAGCAAGGAATATTATATTATTCGTGTTATTTCCTTCAGAACTTGATATACATTCATTAGTAAATATTACTTAAGTTGGATATAAATATAACATTTGAAATTATATTTATTAAATGTTTGACTCAAATTTATGACGTCTATATATTTAAATGTTAATTGCTCAATATATTTGCGTAAATTATATATAATAGAATATATAATAGAATATACTATATTTCAAGAAGAATAAAATATATCGATATCAGTATTATTTACCTTTGTTCAGCATGTTGGTTTCCAAGAACGTACCAATATGAACTTCCATCATGATAACTTGTAGCCATATTTACTGCTGTTACGGACTCGTGCATCATTCTATATACATTATATTATTTTAACGTTAGTTCTTTCTTGACATTTTGGATATTCACTAATGCAGACATTGACAGTTAATTGATCTTCCGAGAACTATTTTTTTCATAGAAATTTGAATCTATTTATTTTTGAGTTTGAATTTTGATATTAGCAACACTTGATATTAAATTAGTAGCACGAACTTCAATTGATCTATTTGATATCTAAGAGCTTGCCAATTTGTACCGGCATAACGAGAACATATACATCCGAAACATCATAAGCAAGGAATACTATGATATTCGTGTTATTTTCTTCAGAACTTGATATATATACATTAGTTGATGTTACTTAAGTTGGATATAAATATAACATTGAAATCATATTTATTAAATATTTGACTCAAATTTATGAAGTTTATATATTTAAATGTTAACTGTTCAATATAACTGCGTTAATTATATATAATAGAATATACTATTTCAAGAAAAATAAAATATGTTGATATTCGTATCATTTACCTTTGTTCACCATCTCGATATCCAAGAATATACCAATATGTACTTCTTTCATGATATCTTGTAGCCATATTATTTACTGCTGCTACGGACTGATGCATCATTCTAAATACATTATATTAATTTAACATTAGTTCTTTCTTGAAATTTTGAATATCCATCCGTGCAGACATTGACAGTTAATTAATTTTCCGAGAGTTTTTTTATCATACAACTTTGAATCACGAATTTTGATATTAGTAACACTTGACATTAAATTATTAGCACGTACCTCTGTCGATCTATTTGATATCCAAAAGCTTGCCAGTTTGTACCGCCATGACGAGAACTTACATACGAAACATCATGAGAAAGAATGTTATTCGTGTTATTTCCTTCAGAACTTGAAACATATTCATTAGTTAATATTACTTAGGTCGAATATAAATATAACATTGAAATCATATTTATTAAATATTTCACTGAAATTTATGTGTAGTTTATATCGTTAATCGTTAAATGTTAAATTCTGTTGTTTATAATAGAATATACTAATCCAAGAAGAATAAAATATACTGATTTACCTTAGTCGATTTAGACTTTCCAGATCATGCCAATATATACTTTCATGACGATAACGTGTAGCCATATTTACTGCTGCTACGGACTGATTCATCATTCTATATACAATATAGTATTTTAACGTTAGTTCTTTCTTGAAATTTTGAATATCCATTCGTGCAGACATTGACAGTTAATTAATCTTCCGAGAGCTTTTTTGTCATACAACTTTGAATCACGAATTTTGATATTAGTAACACTTAACATAAAATTATTAACACGTGACGAGAACTTACATACGAAACATCATGAGAAAGAATACTATGTTATTCGTGTTATTCCCGTCAGAACTTGATATATATTCATTAGTTGATATTAAGTTGAATATAAATGTAACATTGAAATCATATTTATTAAATATTATACTCAAATTTATGAAGTTTCTATCGTTAATCGTTAAATGTTCAATTTTGTTGTTTATAATACAATATACTAATCCTCCAAGAAGAATAAAATATACTGATTTTACTATCATTTACCTTATTCGATTTAGACTTTCCAGATCATGCCAAGATGTACTTTCTTCAGGATAACTTGTAGCCATATTTACTGCTGCTACGGACCGATTCATCATTCTATATAAAATATATTATTTTAACGTTAGTTCTCTCTTGAAAATTTGAATATCCATTCGTGCAGACATTGATAGTTAATTAATCTTCCAAGAGCTTTTTTGTCATACAACTTTGAATCAAGAATTTTGATATTAGTAACACTTGACATTAAATTATTAGCACGTGACGAGAACTTACATACGAAACATCGTGAGAAAGAATACTATGTTATTCGTGTTATTGCCCTCAGAACATGATATATATTCATTAGTCGATATTAAGTTGAATATAAATATAACATTGAAATCATATTTATTAAATATTTTACTCAAATTTATGTAGTCTATATCGTTAATCGTTAAATGTTCAATTTTGTTGTTTATAATATAATATACTAATCCTCCAAGAAGAATAAAATATACTGATTTTACTATCATTTACCTTATTCGATTTAGACTTTCCAGATCATGCCAAGATGTACTTTCTTCAGGATAATTTGTAGCCATATTTACTGCTGCTACGGACCGATTCATCATTCTATATAAAATATATTATTTTAACGTTAGTTCTTTCTTGAAATTTTGAATATCCATTCGTGCAGACACTGACAGTTATTTAAACTTTCGAGAGCTTTTTTGTCATACAACTTTGAATCACGAATTTTGATGTTACTAACACTTAACATTAAATTATTAGCATGTGACGAGAATTAACATACGAAGCATCATGAGAAAGAATATTATGTTATTTGTGTTATTGCCTTCAGAACTTGATATACTTTCATTAGTTGATATTAAGTTGAATATAAATATAACATTGAAATCGTATTTATTAAACATTTTACTTAAATTTATGTTGTCTATATCATTAATCGTTAAATGTTCAATTTTGTTGTTTATAATATAATATACTATCCTCCAAGAAGAATAAAATATACTGATTTTACTATCATTTACCTTAGTCGATTTAGACTTTCCAGATCATGCCAAGATGTACTTCCTTCAGGATAACTTGTAGCCATATTTACAGCTGCTACGGACCGATTCATCATTCTATATACAAATATATTATTTTAACGTTAGTTCTTTCTTGAAATTTTGAATATCCATTCGTGCAGACATTGACAGTTAATTAATCTTCCAAGAGCTTTTTTGTCATACAATATTGAATCACGAATTTTGATATTAGTAACACTTGAAATTAAATTATTAGCACTTGACGAGAACTAACATACGAAACATCATGAGAAAGAATACTATGTTATTCGTGTTATTGCCTTCAGAACTTGATATACTTTCATTAGTTGATATTAAGTTGAATATAAATTAATAAATATAACATTAAAATCGTATTTATTAAATATTTTACTTAAATTTATGTGGTCTATATCGTTAATCGTTAAATGTACAATTTTGTTGTTTATAATATAATATACTATCCTCCAAGAAGAATAAAATATACTGATTTTACTATCATTTACCTTAGTCGATTTAGACTTTCCAGATCATGCCAAGATGTACTTCCTTCAGGATAACTTGTAGCCATATTTACAGCTGCTACGGACCGATTCATCATTCTATATACAAATATATTATTTTAACGTTAGTTCTTTCTTGAAATTTTGAATATCCATTCGTGCAGACATTGACAGTTAATTAATCTTCCAAGAGCTTTTTTGTCATACAATATTGAATCACGAATTTTGATATTAGTAACACTTGAAATTAAATTATTAGCACTTGACGAGAACTAACATACGAAACATCATGAGAAAGAATACTATGTTATTCGTGTTATGCCTTCAGAACTTGATATACTTTCATTAGTTGATATTAAGTTGAATATAAATGTAACATTGAAATCGTATTTATTAAATATTTTACTTAAATTTATGTGTAGTCTATATCGTTAATCGTTAAATGTTCAATTTTGTTGTTTATAATATAATATACTAATCCTCCAAGAAGAATAAAATATACTGATTTTACTATCATTTACCTTATTCGATTTAGACTTTCCAGATCATGCCAAGATGTACTTTCTTCAGGATAACTTGTAGCTATATTAACTGCTGCTACGGACTGATTCATCATTCTATATACAATATATTATTTTAACGTTAGTTCTTTCTTGAAATTTTGAATATCCATTCGTGCAGACATTGATAGTTAATTAATCTTCCAAGAGCTTTTTTGTTATACAATTTTGAATCATGAATTTTGATATTAGTAACACTTGACATTAAACTATTAGCACGTGACGAGAACTTACATACGAAACATCATGAGAAAGAGTACTATGTTATTCGTATTATTCCATTCAGAACTTGATATATATCCATTAGTTGATATTAAGTTGATTATAAATATAACATTGAAATCATATTTATTAAATATTGCACTCAAATTTATGTATTCTATATCGTTAATCGTTAAATGTTCAATTCTGTTGTTCATAATAGAATATACTAATCCTCCATGAAGTATAAAATATACTGATTTTACTATCGTTTACCTTAGTCGATTTAGACTTTCCAGATCATGCCAATATATACTTTCATGATGATAACGTGTAGTCATATTTTCTGCAGCTACGTCTTGTTGCATTATTCTATAATCGCTATTATATGCAGCTCCTCTTTCACATCTTGAATTTTCATTCATGTGATGTTGATAGTGAGATCTTAAGTCATTTATTCCTGTGTTGCTATATAATAATCTAATAGCGTAATTGCTGCAATTATTGCAATTTACAGATAAGTATTTTACCGATTGCGAAACGATGAAGAACATTAAGTAATATACTAAATTTATAATATACTTAAAATATACGTTATCTATTAATAATTTAAGAAAAAAGACATTAATATTTCTATTATATAACAGTTACCTTTGATGGTCTTGATTTCGAGGAGTTTGCCTATTTATATCATCATGATGGGAGCTTGTATTTGCATTTTCAGTGCCTGTAGACTGTTGTGTCATTCTATTCACATTATTATCTTCAGATTTTTGTTGAGACCTTAAACGTTGATACTTTTTCGAACAAATGTGACGTGCTAAGGCATCTGTTCCGTTAAATATGTCTTTTTCAACATTGCAACGTTTGCACCGTGCGTAAAATTCATCGTAATAAATTTCGAAATATTGCGATAGAGACTTATCCGCAATTTTTTTTCGTACATCAGCTCTTATTTCTTCACGATGACTTTGCAGATGCGACTTTATAAGTGATACATATGGTTGATGAAGTAAACTGCCACAAAATTTACATTTTGCTTCATATAAGTCTACTTTGTCGAAGTATCGCCATATCAAGTCATTGTCGGTTTCCCATTTTAACCGATCTTCTTCATCCCATATTTCATGCTTATGATATAAATGTGCCTTTATCATTGTTAACATTTCAATAAATTTAATAAATTTATTTCTTTTTCCAATTTCATAAGTTTGAATACAATATCTGCACCGTACATTAGAACCAGTCAGAAATAATAATGAAATCGGCATCGAATCGGCGTCGATTCTATTATCATTTCTGACTGGGGAATTGTCTAATTTAAGATGTTCCCACACAAAATCGTCTGCTCCTTCTAGAGCTGCTATTAATTCCGCACGGTATCGTGATGTGTTACTATAAAATACGAAATGCCCATTAAGCTAAGAAAAATGTTTAGAAAAGCTGTTTAGGAAAGGTTGATGATAGGAGAGAGTGAAATGTGTAACTTTTCATTAGTAAATGTTACTGATTGAATGTTTGAGAGAGATCAGTAAGAATTATATACTTTAATTCCTACTTATTCGACCTTTGTTATCAGTAAATCAGATTAAGATTAACAGTATGTATTTTACACATCTTGACTTGAAAATAAAATTTAACATTGAAAATTGGTACAAGCTTAAATTTGGAAATGTTTCTTGTCTTTTTATTGTAGGCTACTACGACATCGTTATTCTAATAAACGTTGAGGTAAATAGATTAAATTAAGTAATGTACTAAATTTTTGATGTGTATTAAGTGTATATAATATATTAATAACTTAAGAAAAGTGAAACATTAACACTTTTGTTACATAACAGGTACCTTCGTTGGTCTTGATTTCGAGGAGCTTGCCTTTTTATATCATCTTGATTGGAGCTTGTATTTGCAATTTGAGTGACTATAGACTGTTGTGTCATTCTATTCACGATATTACCTTCAGATTTTTGTAGAGACTTTGTTGTTGGTGTGTTACTAAATACGAAATACCGATTAAACTAAGGAAAATGTTCAGAAAAGCTGTTTAGGAAAGGTTGATGATAGGAGAGAGTGAAATGTGTAATTTTTCATTAGTAAATGTTATTGATTGAATATTTGAGATCAGTAAGAATTATATACTTTAATTCCTACTTATTCGACCTTTGTTGTCAGTAAATCGGATTAAGATTAACATTATGTATTTTACACATCTTGACTTGAAAATAAAATTTAACATTGAAAATTGATACAAGTTTAAATTTGGAAATATTTCTTGACTTTTTATTGTGGGCTACTACGACATCGTTGTTGTAATAAACGTTGAGGTAAATAGGTTGAATTAAGTAATGTACTAAATTTTTGATGTGTATTAAGTGTACATAATATATTAATAACTTAAGAACAGTGAAACATTAACATTTTTATTACATAACAGTTACCTTTGTTGGTCTTGATTTCGAGAAGTTTGCCTATTTATATCATCATCACTGGAGCTTATATTTTCAACGTCAATGACTATAGACTGTGGTGTCATTCTATTCACGATATTATCTTCAGATTTTTGTAGAGACTTTGTTGTTGTTATGTTACTAAATATGAAATACCGATTAAACTAAGGAAAATGTTCAGAAAAGCTGTTTAGAAAAGGTTGATGATAGGAGAGAGTGAAATGTGTAATTTTGCATTAGTAAATGTTATTGATTGAATATTTGAGATCAGTAAGAATTATATACTTTAATTCCTACTTATTCGACCTTTGTTGTCAGTAAATCGGATTAAGATTAACATTATGTATTTTACACATCTTGACTTGAAAATAAAATTTAACATTGAAAATTGATATAAGTTTAAATTTGGAAATATTTCTTGACTTTTTATTGTGGGCTACTACGACATCGTTGTTGTAATAAACGTTGAGGTAAATAGGTTGAATTAAGTAATGTACTAAATTTTTGATGTGTATTAAGTGTACATAATAAATTAATAACTTAAGAAAACTGAAACATTAACATTTTTATTACATAACAGTTACCTTTGTTGGTTTTGATTTCGAGGAGTTTGCCTATTTATATCATCATCACTGGAGCTTGTATTTTCAATGTCAATGACTATAGACTGTGGTGTCATTCTATTCACGATATTATCTTCAGATTTTTGTAGAGACTTTGTTGTTATGTTACTAAATACGAAATACCAATTAAACTAAGGACAATGTTCAGAAAAACTGTTTAGGAAAGGTTGATGATAGGTTGATGATAGGAGAGAGTAAAATATCATTAGTAAATGTTATTGATTGAATATTTGAGATCAGTAAGAATTATATACTTTAATTCCTACTTATTCGACCTTTGTTGTCAGTAAATCGGATTAAGATTAACATTATGTATTTTACACATCTTGACTTGAAAATAAAATTTAACATTGAAAATTGATACAAGTTTAAATTTGGAAATATTTCTTGACTTTTTATTGTGGGCTACTACGACATCGTTGTTGTAATAAACGTTGAGGTAAATAGGTTGAATTAAGTAATGTACTAAATTTTTGATGTGTATTAAGTGTACATAATAAATTAATAACTTAAGAAAACTGAAACATTAACATTTTTATTACATAACAGTTACCTTTGTTGGTTTTGATTTCGAGGAGTTTGCCTATTTATATCATCATCACTGGAGCTTATATTTTCAATGTCGATGACTATAGACTGTGGTGTCATTCTATTCACGATATTATCTTCAGATTTTTGTAGAGACTTTGTTGTTGTTATGTTACTAAATATGAAATACCGATTAAACTAAGGAAAATGTTCAGAAAAGCTGTTTAGGAAAGGTTGATGATAGGAGAGAGTGAAATGTGTAATTTTTCATTAGTAAATGTTATTGATTGAATATTTGAGATCAGTAAGAATTATATACTTTAATTCCTACTTATTCGACCTTTGTTGTCAGTAAATCGGATTAAGATTAACATTATGTATTTTACACATCTTGACTTGAAAATAAAATTTAACATTGAAAATTGATACAAGTTTAAATTTGGAAATATTTCTTGACTTTTTATTGTGGGCTACTACGACATCGTTGTTGTAATAAACGTTGAGGTAAATAGGTTGAATTAAGTAATGTACTAAATTTTTGATGTGTATTAAGTCTACATAATAAATTAATAACTGCAGAAAAGTGAAACATTGACATTTTTATTATATAACAGTTACCTTTGTTGATCTTGATTTCGAGGAGTTTGCCTATTTATATCATCATCACTGGAGCTTATATTTTCAATGTCGATGACTATAGACTGTGGTGTCATTCTATTCACGATATTATCTTCAGATTTTTGTAGAGACTTTGTTGTTGTTATGTTACTAAATATGAAATACCGATTAAACTAAGGAAAATGTTCAGAAAAGCTGTTTAGAAAAGGTTGATGATAGGTTGATGATAGGAGAGAGTGCAATGTGTAATTTTTCATTAGTAAATGTTATTGATTGTTTCAGATCAGTAAGAATTATATACTTTAATTCCTACTCATTCGACTTTTGTTGTCAGTCAATCAGATTAAGATAAACCTTATGTACTTTACACATCTTGACTAGAAAATAAAATTTAACATTGAAAATTGGTACAAGTTTAAATTTGGAAATGTTTCTTGACTTTTTATTGTAGGCTACTACGACATCGTTATTGTAATAAACGTTGAGATAAATAGGTTGAATTAAGTAATGTACTAAATTTTTGATGTGTATTAAGTGTACATAATATATTAATAACTTAAGAAAAGTGAAACATTAACTTTTTTATTACATAACAGTTACCTTTGTTGGTCTTGATTTCGAGGAGTTTGCCTATTTATATCATCATTACTGGAGCTTGTATTTTCAATATCAATGACTATAGACTGTGGTGTCATTCTATTCACGATATTATCTTCAGATTTTTGTAGAAACTTTGTTGTTGTTATGTTACTAAATACGAAATACCGATTAAACCAAGGAAAATGTTCAGAAAAGCTGTTTAGGAAAGGTTGATGATAGGAGAGAGTGAAATGTGTAATTTTTCATTAGTAAATGTTATTGATTGTTTCAGATTAGTAAGAATTATATACTTTAACTACTATTTATTCCACTTTTGTTGTCAGTCAATCAGATTAAGATTAACATTATGTATTTTACACATCTTGATTTGAAAATAAAATTTGACATTGAAAATTGGTACAAGTTTAAATTTGGAAATTTTTAATAACTTGAGAAAAGTGAAACATTAACATTTTTATTACATAACAGTTACTACCTTTGTTGGTCTTGATTTCGAGGAGTTTGCCTATTTATATCATCATCGCTGGAGCTTGTATTTTCAATGTCAATGATTATAGACTGTGGTGTCATTCTATTCACGATATTATCTTCAGATTTTTGTAGAGACTTTGTTGTTGTTATGTTACTAAATATGAAATACCGATTAAACTAAGGAAAATGTTCAGAAAAGCTGTTTAGGAAAGGTTGATGATAGGAGAGAGTGAAATGTGTAATTTTTCATTAGTAAATGTTATTGATTGAATATTTGAGATCAGTAAGAATTATATACTTTAATTCCTACTTATTCGACCTTTGTTGTCAGTAAATCGGATTAAGATTAACATTATGTATTTTACACATCTTGACTTGAAAATAAAATTTAACATTGAAAATTGATACAAGTTTAAATTTGGAAATATTTCTTGACTTTTTATTGTAGGCTACTACGACATCGTTATTGTAATAAACGTTGAGGTAAATAGGTTGAATTAAGTAATGTACTAAATTTTTGATGTGTATTAAGTGTACATCATATATTAATAACTTGAGAAAAGTGAAACATTAACATTTTTATTACATAACAGTTACTACCTTTGTTGGTCTTGATTTCGAGGAGTTTGTCTATTTATATCATCATCGTTGTATTTTCAATGTCAATGATTATAGACTGTGGTGTCATTCTATTCACGATATTATCTTCAGATTTTTGTAGAGACTTTGTTGTTGATGTTTTACTAAATACAAAATACCGATTAAACTAAGGAAAATGTTCAGAAAAGTTGTTTAGGAAAGTTTGATGGTAGGAGAGAGTGAAATGTGTAATTTTTCATTAGTAAATGTTATTGATTGAATGTTTCAGTGATCAGTAAGAATTATATACTTTAATTCCTACTTATTCGACTTTTGTTGTCAGTCAATCAGATTAAGATTAACATTATGTATTTTACACATCTTGACTTGAAAATAAAATTTAACATTGAAAATTGGTACACGTTTAAATTTGGAAATGTTTCTTGACTTTTTATTGTAGGCTACTACGACATCGTTATTGTAATAAACGTTGAGGTAAATAGGTTGAATTAAGTCATGTACTAAATTTTTAATGTGTATTAAGTGTACATAATATATCAATAAACTAAGAAAAGTGAAACATTAACATTTTTATTATATAATAGTTACCTTTGTTGAAGGACTTGATTTTGAGGAGCATGCCTATTTATATCATCATGATGGGAATTTGTACTCGCATTGTCAGTGACTATAGACTGTTGTGTCATTATGTTCACATTTTTATCTTCAGATATTTGTCGAGACCTTAAACGTTGATTCTTTTTGAAACAAATGTGATGTATTAAGGCATCTGTTCCGTAAAGTATGTCCTTTTCAAAATAGCAACGTTTGCACCATGCACTAAGTTTTTTCTCATCGATTTTAAAACAATGCGATAGTAACTTAGTTGCAATTTCTTTTTGTGCAGCAACACTTATTTCTTGACTATGCTTTTTTCGCAGATGCCCCTTTAGATTTGGTAAATATGCTTCGCGACGAATTTTTTTACAAAATTTACATTTTCCTTTGTATAATTCTACTTTATCAAAATATTGCCATATAAAGTCATTGTTGCTTTCCCATTTCAAGCGATCTTCTTCAGTCCATATTTTGTGCTTATGGTATAAATGTACTTTCATCAATTTTATCAATCTACCTGTATTTTTATTACAATAAGTTTGATCACAACAATCTATATTGCACTGTATAGTAAAACTGTTTAATTTAACAACATGTTTCCACACCCATTTATCTGATTCATCTAGAGCTGCTGTTGCATCCGCACAATTTCGTGATGTGTTACTAAATATGAAATATTGATTAAACCAAGGAAAATGTTCAGAGAAACTGTTTAGGAAAGATTAACGATAGGAGAGAGAGTGAAATGTGTAATTTTTCGTTAATAAAGGATTGATTGAATCTTTCAGTTCAGTAAGAATTATATATTTTAATTCCTACTTATTCGATCTCTGTTGTCAATCAATCAGATTAAGATTAACATTATATATTTTACACATCTTGACATGAAAATATAGTTTAACAATAAAAATTGGGGCAAGTTTGTAAAATTTGGAAATATTTCTTGACTTTTTTACTACTTTTTTGCTACAACAACGTTTATCATGGTTTATTGTAATAATGGTTGAAGTAAATAGATTAAATTGAGTAATATACTAAATGGGTATTAAAGTGTAGATGATATATCAATAGCTTAAGAAAAGTGAAACGTTAACATTTGAATTATATAACAATTACCTTTGTTGATTTTCTCGATTTTCAGGAGCTTGTCTATTTATATTATCATGATGTGAACTTGTATTAGTATTTTGATCGGCTAGAGATTGTTGTATCACTGTGTTCACATTATTATGTTCAGGTTCTTGTCGAGATCTTAAAGGTTGATAATTAAAACAATTGTGACGTACTAAGACATCTGATCCGTAAAATATATTCATTTCAACATTGCAATGTTTGCACCGTGCACTAAATTCTTCCTCTTGAATTTCGAAATATTGCGATAGCGACTTATATGCAATTTCTTTTTTTATAACAGCTCTTATTTCTTGACTATGCTTTTGTCGCAAATGCCACCTTAGATATGCTAGATCTGCTTCACGATGAAAAGCCATACAAAATTTACATTTTCCTTTGTATAAGTCTACTTTGTCATAATATCGCCATACCAAATCATTGTTTTTTTCCCATTTTAGGCGATCTTTTTCGGTCCATATTTCGTGCTTATGGTATAAATGTACCTTCATCGATTGTATCAACAGACTTGATTTGTTAGATTTATTATGATAAGTTTTATTACATTTATCTATATTGCACCGTATAGTAGAATTGTTTAGTTTAAGATCATGTTTCCACACCCAATTGTCTGACCTTTGACGAGCTGCCGCTAGTTCTTTTCGACGTCTTAAATATTGATTGTTTTTAAAACAAATGTGATGTATTAAGGCATCTGCTCCATAAAATATGTCTTTTTCAACATTGCAAATTTTGCACCGTGCACTAAATTTTTCCTCATCAATTTCGAAATAATGCGATACAGACTTATCCGCAATTTCTCTTCGTACACCAGCTCTTATTTCCCGACGATGACGTTGCAGATGCGACGTTATAAGTTGTACATATGGTGGACAAAGTAAATAGTCACAAAATTTACATTTTACTTCATATAAGCCTACTTTGTCGAAGTATCGCCATTTCAAGTCATTGTCGTTTTCCCATTTTAAGCGATCTTCTTCATTCCATATTTCATGCTTATGGTATAAATGTGCCTTTATCAATCTTATCATTTCAATAAAATGATTTCTTTTACCAATTTTATAAGCTTGAGTACAACTTCTGCACCGTACATAGGAATTGTCTAATTTAAGATGTTCCCGCACCCATTCGTCTGATCCTTCTAGAGCTGCCATAAAATCCGCACAGCATCGTGATGTGTTACTAAATACGAAATATCGATTAAGCTACTACAACATCGTTTATCATCGTTATTGTAATAAACGTTCAGGGAAATAGATTGAATTAAGTAATGTACTCAATTATTAATGTGAATCAAGTGTACATGATATATTAATAACTTAAGAAAAGTGAAACATTAACATTTTTACTACATAATAGTTACCTTTGTTGGTCTTGATTTCGAAGAGCTTGCCTGTTTATATCATAATGGAAATTTGTATTTGCATTTTCAGTGGCTAAAGACTGTTGTGTCATTCTGTTCACGTTATTACTTTCAGGTTCTTGTCGAGATCTTAAACGTTGATTTTTTTCTAAACAAATGTGTATTAAGGTATCTGTTCCGTAAAATATGTCCTTTTTAACATTACAAAGTCTGCACAATGCGCTAAATTCTTTTTCATCTATTTCAAAATATTGCGTTAGAGACTTATCCGCAATTTCTTTTCGTACAATAGTTCTTATTTCTTGACAATGTCTTTGCAGATGGTTCTTTATAAATGGTATATGTGCTTCATAAAGTAAAATGTTACAAAATTTACATTTTTCTTTATATAAGTCTACTTTGTCGAAGTATCGCCATATCAAGTCATCATCGTTTATCCATTTTAAGCGATCTTCTTTATTCCATATTTCGTGCTTGTGGTATAAATGTCCCTTTATCGTTGTTATCATTCTACTTGCATGTTTACTATTAGTTATAAAAATTTCGTTACAACCATTTATATTGCACTGTACAGCAAAATTGTCTAATTTGAGAACATGTTTCCGCACCCAATAGTTCGATCCTTGTAGAGCTGCCATTATATCCGTATAGTATAGCGATATGTCACTAAATATGAAATATCGATCAAGCCAAGGAAAATATTTAGAGAAGTTATTTAAGAAAGGTTGATGATAGAAGAGACAGTAAAACATTTATAATTTTTCATTAATATTCAATAATAAACGTTGAAATAAATAAATAGAATGAATTAAGTAATATACTAAACTTTAATGTGTATTAAGAGCATACAATATATTAATAATTTAAGAAAAGTGAAACATTGACATTTTTATTATAACAGTTACCTTTGTTGGAGGTCCTGATTTCGAGGAGCTTGCCTATTGATATCATCATGATGGGAGTTTGTATTTGCATTTTCAGTGACTATAGACTGTTGTGTCATTATATTCACATTTTTATCTTTAGATTTTTGTCGAGACTTTAAACGTTGATTCTTTTTCAAACAAATGTGATGTATTAAAGCATCTGTTCCGTAAAATATATCCATTTTAAGATTGCAATGTTTGCAACATGCACTAAGTTTTTTCTCATCGATTTTAAAACATTGCGATAGTGACGTTGTTGCAATTCTTTTCTCTGCAGCAACTCTTATTCTTTGACTATGATTTTTTAGCACATGCAACTTTAAATTTGGTATATATGCTTCTTGACAAATTTTCCTACAAAATTTACATTTTCCGTTGTATAAGTCTACTTTGTTAAAATATCGCCATATCAAGTCATTGTTGTTTTCCCATTCTAAGCGATCTTCTATTGTCCATATTTGGTGCTTATGGTATAAATGTACTTTCATCGATGTTATCAATCTACTTGTATTTTTATTATAATAAGTTCGAACACAACAATCTATATTGCACCGTACAGTAAAATTGTTAAGTTTAACAACATATTTCCACACCCAATTGTCTAATTTTTCTAGAGCTGCCATAAAATCCGCACAGTATCGTGATGTGTCACTAAATACGAAACAACGATTAAGCTAAGAAAAATGTTCAAAAAAGCTGTTTAGGAAAGATTGATGATAAGAGAGAGTGAAATGTGTAATTTTTCATTAATAAATGTTAATGATTGAATCTTTCGGTAGTTCAGTAAGAATTATATACTTTAATTCCTACTTATTCGATTTCTGTTGTCAATCAATCAGATTAAGATTGACATTATTTATTTTACACATCTTGACTTGAAAATAAAGTTTAACATTGAAAATTGGTACAAGTTTAAATTTGGAAATGTTTCTTGTCTTTTTATTATATGCTACTACAAAATCGTTATTGTAATAAACGTTGAGGCAAATAGATTGAAATAAGTAATGTACTAAATTTTTAATGTGTATTAAGTGAACATAATATATTAATATTACTTAAGAAAAGTAAAACATTAATGTTTTTATTCTATAACAGTTATTTTTGTTGAAGGTCTTGATTTTGAGGTGCTTACCTATTTATATCATCATGATGGGAGCTTGTATTTACATTTTCAGTGACTGTAGACTGATGTGTCATTATATTCACGTTTTTATCTTCAGATTTTTGTCGAAACCTTAAACGTTGATTCTTTTTGAAACAAATATGATATATTAAGTCATCTATTTTGTAAAGTATGTCTACTTTAAGATTGCAACGTTTGCATCTTGCACTAAGTTCTTTCTCATCGATTTTAAAACATTGCGATGGTGACTTTGTTGCAATTTTTTTTTGTACAGCAGAACTTATTCTTTGACTATGCTTTTTTAACAAATGTAACTTTAGATTAGGTATATATGCTTCATGGCAAATTCTCCTACAAAATTTACATTTTCCTTTGTATAAGTCTATTTTGTTAAAATATTGCCATATCAAGTCATTGTTGTTTCCCCATTCTAAGTGATCTTGTTCATTCCATATTTTGTGCTTATGGTATAAATGTGCCTTCATCGATGTTATCAATCTACTTGTATTTTTATTATAATACGTTTGAAGACAACAATCTGTATTGCACCGTAGAGCAAAACTGTTTAATTTAACAACATGTTTCCACATCCAATTGTCTGATTCTTCTAGAGCTGCCATTGCATCCGCACAGTATAGGGATGTGTTACTAAATACGAAATAATGATTAAATCAATGAAAATGTTCAGAGAAGCTGTGTAGGAAAGGTTGATGATAGGAGAGAGTGTGAAATATGTAATTTTTCATTAGTAAAGAATTGATTGAATCTTTCAGTTCAGTAAGAATTATATACTTTAATTCCTACTTATTTGATTTCTGTTGTCCATCAATCAGATGAAGAATAACATTATACATTTTACACATCTTGACTTGAAAATAAAGTTTAACATTGAAAATTGGTACATGATTAAATTTGGAAATGTTTCTTGACATTTTATTATAGGCTACTGCAACATCGTTATTATAATAAACGTTGAGATAAATAGATTGAATTAAATAATATACTAATTTGTTAATGTGTATTAAGTGTATATAATGTATTAATAACTTAAGAAAAGTGAAACATTAACATTTTTATTACGTAACAGTTACCTTTGTTGGTCTTGATTTCGAGGAGCTTGCATATTTATGTCATCATGATGGGAGCTTGTATTTGCATTTTCAGTGGCTATAGAGTGCTGTGTGCTTGATTGTGTCATTCTGTTCACATCATTGTCTTTAGGTTGTTGTCGAGACCTTAAACGTTGATTTGTTTCTATACAAATGTGTTTTAAGGCATCTGTTCCGTAAAATATGTCCTTTTTATCATTGCAACGTTTGCACAATGCGCTAAATTCTTCATCTATTTCGAAATATTGCGATAGAGACTTAGTCGCTATTTCTTTTTCTACGATAGTTCTTATTTCTTGACTATGTCTCATTCGCAGATGAAACTTTAT